TGCTGTTACTCTCCCTAGAGTATGTGAGTTAAGAGGTTAGAAATGGGGGTTGGAGAGATGGCTCAGTAGTGACAAGCACTGCTTGCTCTTCCAGAGGACCCAGGTTTGAATCCCAACAATTCCCAGCATTCACAAAGTGCTCACCACCACCTGTAACTCCAGTTCCAGGGAATCTAATGCCATTTTCTGGCCTCTGTGGACACTGCACACACATTCATGCAGGCAAAACACCTATACACATAGAAATAATTGAATCGAAAATTTAAAAAGTTAGGAACACTAAAAGTGAACAGTGCTGGGAAGTCTGCCTGCCTGACTCATTTGAAGAGTAAAGCAGGCTGTTCTCCACCATACAATACATGCCATGTTCAAGAATCCGTTCTTCAGAGTCATTTTGCCTGCATCCTCTCAGACATGTAGCTTCCCAACCTCAGAACTAATGGAAAACCTGAACATTTTAGAGAAGGAGTTGTCACTGCCGTAATCAACAAGAACAGAGGTGACATCCACATCTCTGCCACTGGGACACATCCAGGAGCCATTCTGTTCAGGAGCCATTCTTAGAGATGGTCCCTGCATCTTTGTTGCTTCCTCTCTTTGTGTTCCATTTCTGGTGAGTTTTCTCCCTACCCATCCTCTAAGCCATGACAAAACCATCAGAAAAGCTACTACAAAACCTTGCAACTTGCATGTCTCCATTGTACATGACGTCATACTTATCTTTTGATCTAGTTTTAGCTTATTTGCTGTTAAAAAATTCTCCTTCGTTTTTACTCTTCTTTTACTCTTCTTTTAAAAATCTGGTTTCACTATGTTTCTCTGGCTCACCTGGAAGTCTCTATGTAAAACAAGCTGGCTTTGAACTTAGAGAGATCCACCTACGTCGGCCTCCTGCATACTGGCTAAAGCATGGGCCACCACACCCAGCTTCATCTCCCTCTTCTTAACAGAACTGCTTTTTCTTGGCCTCACCATTTCCATGTTAACTTTACAGTTTCAAGTACTTTAGAAAACCCTTTTTGTTGTTGTTGCTGCTGCTGCTGCTGCTGACGTCATTGTTGTTGATGATGATGATGCTGTTTCTAGGGTCATCCTATGAATAATGATGTCTTGTCCCCTCCTGTTTCCCATCATGGGAGCTTCCAATCTTCTACCCTTTATGTCTGTTTGTTTGTTTGTTTTTACTTTCTGTATATGAATGTTTAGTATGTACATGCACCACATATGTGCCCGGGGAAGCCAGAGGGTGGCCAGCTGCATCCCCTGAAGCAGGAGTTACGGGCAGTCATTAGCTAAAATGTAGGTGTGGGGAATTGAAACCAGGTCTTCTGAAAAAGCAGCTAGTGCTCTTAACCACTGAGCCACCTCTCCAGCCCCTCAGTTCCATCTCTCTAGCTCTGTCCTTGCCCTCGTTGCTTTAATCGTTCTTTTGCCTCACTAAGGACAAGCTGCTCCCTCACTCCCAAACGTGTTGCTCAAGTCAAAGTTCGGCTTAGAAAAAAAGAGCAATATGCTGTCAGGTGCTTGCCTACACCACCACCAGATGATCCACACTAGTTTTTAAAAATGGTTATTTGGCAATATCTTGTGCTTACTATTATAGTACCACAAAACACAATGGGGCAGATGGGAATTTGAGAAGGGATTCTCAAGAATGCTGCTTTTAAAAATCCACAGGAACAGAGAGTTGTATGTCCCTGATGAAATGAACGAAACAGCCAGTAATGAATGAATCTGCCTAACTATTTAGCAGGGTTGAGCATGCTGGCCAAAAGAAAGAAAAAAAAGTATTTGCTATCCCTGTCGGCTGCAGGATAAGTCCTTGAATGGCTGTGAGGTCATCTAGCTCCCTGCACCTCCTGTGTTGGAGCCAGCACCATGGACTGAACCTTCTTTGTTCTTGTGGTGGAGAAGTCTGCCACCTCTACCAACTTGTCCTCAGGAATGTCGTTCTAGAAATAAACCGCCTGCCATTCGTGAGTCACACACAGAAGTTAATTCATTTGAACCACTGACTTTTCTTAGGCCCTTTGTATTTCAGTGGACCCTCAGGGTTTCTCCTCAGCTCTTCCCTCCTGGCCTCTGTCCATGCCTCCACTGCTTTCTCTCTGGCTTTCCCTGACATTTATGTAGAAGCAGACCCCAGCACCAGGTAGAACTGGCTGAATTCAGAAGTGCCCCAGGAAAACCTGTTAACTCACCTACCCAGAGCCTCGCATCACACACCAGCCTAGCCCCTCTTCTTTGATGCCAATCACACTTGTGAGACAGTGTGCCGATGAGTAACTCTGTAATCTGTACAGTAAGGTAGGGCCAATACAATAGTTCATCTTTTTTCTTTTAAATGTTCGGATTCATTTTAACAGAGGTAATAATTAAGCACATTTTTACTATAAATGGTAACAGAACTAACAGAACTAGTATGTCCCTCATTAATAACTAACGAGCATTGCTGTGTAGTTTTTCATAGCTTTTATATTCTAGAATATTTTTGGTGTTTTCTAAAGATTTATTTTATTTATTTATTTGAGGTGTGTGTGTTTGTATGTGTGTGTGTGCGTTTGTGTGTGTGTTTGTGTGTGTGTGTGCCCATGAATGTCGGAATAGAACACTGGACCCCTCCTTGGAGCTGGAGTACAGTGTGAGCTCGAGGACTGAACTCTAGTCCTTTGCAAGAACCGTAAGCACTCTTAACTTTGGAGTCATCTCTCCAGCGCGCTAGGATATTTCAAAACAGAAATGCACAATTAAGATAAATTTAAAGAATGTAGGAGTGTGAATAAAAAGGGAATGTGTCTCAGAATCCTGCCCATTTCTGCTCCCCAGCAGCAAATAGCTGGATGGCAGCCTTTCAGACCTTTATAATAGGTGCATGTGTGTACTCATGAATGCACATTTGCATATATGTACTCATGGATGCACAA